TAGTTTCTCTAAGGGCAAGTACCTTGTTTCGGCTCCCAACAATGTCTTGCTGACATAAAAGATGGGCAAGTGTTGTATTCTTTCTGTACGAACCAATACTGCGCTAACTGCGTGCTGAGAGACTGCCAGGTACAAGAAGAGTTCTTCACCAGGTACTGGGGTAACAAGCAGTGGAGGGGAAGACATATACTCCTTCAGGTTTTCCAGAGCTTGGTCGCATTCTTCATCCCATTCAAACTTGGCTTTTAAGGCATGAAAAAATGGTCGTAGTTTGTCTGATGACCGGCTGATAAATCGGTTGAGTGCAGCCGCCATGCCGGTGAGATGCTGTACTTCTTTCACAGAGTTTGGTCTTTCCAAATCTTTGATTGCTTTGACCTGAGAGGGGTCTGCTTCTATACCTCGGTTGGTCACCAGGAAGCCCAAGAATTTGCCAGATCCAACTCCGAATGCGCATTTGGACGCATTGAGGTGCAACTTGTGTTTCTTCAGGATTTGGAACATCTCGCCTAGATCTTTAAGATGGTCATTCTCATCCTTGCTTTTGACCACCATGTCGTCGATGTAGGCCTCCATTGTACCCACTTTGTGAAGTAGTCTGTTGCTGCGAGAAAGAACTTCCTGCCGCCGGGCGCTGTTGGAAGTGGTCCTACTATGTCCAAGCCCCACATTGCGAAAGGCCATGGACTTGTCAGTGGTAGGAGTTCTCTTGCTGGTTGATGTATCTGGTGCGCGAATTTTTGTCATTTCTCACACTTTTTCACTTATTTCTCTGAATTTGCCTGCATATAGGGCCACCAATATCCTTGCGAAATAGCCCTGTAAGCGAGTGACCTTCCTCCTTGATGACTTCCACACACCCCTTCGTGTATTTCAAACAAGAATGCTTCTACTTTGCTGGGGTGAACGCACTTGAGGTAAGGCCCAGAGAATGACTTCTTGTATAATGCCAAAGATGGAGATAGCCAAAATCGCTGCGACTTTGCCCTTATTCTGTTGGCTTCTTTTTTCTCTTCTGGTAGGATGCCGTCTTTTAGGAATAGGATGATGGGATCCATCCAAGAAGGGCCTAGTTCTGCGCAACATACTTCTTCTGCTTCGGGGTCTTCTATAC